GATAAATAATGTTTATAATAAATAGCTCACTCAAAAGATAATGAAAATTAAATAGTTATAGGTTGGACTTATTTTTATCAAGTGCATGTCTGTACGCTCAATTTTCAGCCAAACTTGCTGTGTAAAACCCAATTATAGTATCCAATCGATTAAACCCAAGGAGGTGAAACCACGTTTGAAATATTAACATTTCAAAAGAAATCTAAGACTTTTAAGTACTAGAATACTTTTACATTTTAGTGTCAACCTTGTTGGGTACAACAAACTAAACTAGATGAAAGAAAACGCGGTCAAGCATTGACATAGCTTTATTAATTCACTGTGTACGTACGTAGTTCATGCACGCTCCCTGCCACGTAATTTGGTAAGTCATCTCCTGCTAGCCTATTTTCATTTCCGGACAAATATAACTGTTAAAAAGTCCCGTATAACGATCTAAATAGCTATTCAAAAAGCTCAAGTTAATAGTAGTTTGCAATGTGGGAAATCAACATGAATGTATTACTGGGCCATTATCAATATGAAGTGCTTCATTCATCAGTGTAGATTTCCTAAACCATGGATAAAGTTGTTTTAATATGTTCACTAAAATAAGTAACTTAAATATCTAGTAACATGCTATAAATTAGTTTAATCTGTTCAATTTGAAATGGATTAGATTATCCTGTTGTTGAAATTTTGACTGAAATTTGATCATTCTTAGTTGGATATGGGCCTCGATATGGGTATTGTGACACGAGAGAGTATAGAATAGCTGAAATATGGATAGCAGTGGCTCAAGTGATGGAATTCGAAGAAAATGGTATTAGATTCGAGTCCCAAATAGGACGAAATATGCGTTCTGGATTCCACTGCAAGACACCTATTTATCTTACACTAATCAATGTATATTTATCAGAATGGGTTTTGTGGAGAGTTTTAGAAATTTCACAGGAGTCCCATACCAGGACGAAACGGCCGTCCAGTGCTTCCAGGTTTCCAATGGTGGTCTAGCTTCAACTGACTCATGATTTCAACCTGTGAAATGTATATTTAGTTTCCGGTTAAAATCCTTCCATCTGTCAAGAGGAGTGTAACTAATATGTCTCGAATATTTAGGTTTCTATTCATGTTAATTGATATTACCACATAGTAAATAAAGTATAATTGTGTTGTGGAATAAATCATTCTTCTAGTTTTAGCGTTGTAGAATGTTACGGGGAAATAATAATACACAATTCGAACTAGAATACAAAATTAATTATTAGTGCTTTAGTGTAGCTTAAAAAAATAAAATATCAAATGGAGTCGACAATATGAAAAACGAATCCAGGAATGACATGTTTGATGAAAACATTGAGTGAATACAGTTAGGACCTATTCGAGAAGAATGATTTTCTTTCAGTTGCACAGAATTGCAACGCTTGCATCAATGTTGTTAATTTGTTTTTGTAGAAGAAACTTGTTGAAATACCACATTCTGAGTATTCTATGTTGTACCAAAATATAATATTGAATTAAGCCATCGACAATAATAATAGGTGTCAAATCGTATCTTATAAGTCCCTTTAAACATCCATTTCAAATGATTTTGCATCAAAATCAATCAAGTGGGGATTGGTGGAGATTGTAGTAATTTTAATAGTTGAATTCATGAGTCGGTTTAAGTTAGACCACCATTGAAAATCTGAAAGCATTGAACGGCCATTTCGTCCTAAGCGTTCGCGTGCGAAACCGAAGGTCTTGGGTTCGAGTTCCACGTGTGGGATCGTCGATACGCACTGTTGAGGAATCTCATATTAGGACCAAACGGACGTCCAGTGCTTCCAGGTATTTACTGGTGGTCTAGCTTAGATCGACTCATGATTTCAACTATTAAAATATAAAAAATATAATGAAAAATCATAAATTTCTGATAGGAAATTGAATTTCAATCACTTTTTGTACTAGTGTAAGTCTTTTCAATAGAGGTTAAATAAATAACCGCCTTCAATTAATATATGCTTAAATAGTACAAAGAAACAAAGTAGGATATTTAATGAAGTCAAAAACAAATCTGATCAAGTCACTGTCATATCATTCCGGTCAAGGTGACTTGTTAGTGAAACATGTCTGTGTATTTGTGTGTATATTAGTGGATATGAAAAAATATGTGATATTTGCAATGTGATAGAGTTGAGTTAAATTTGTATGATTGTTAATAGTATAAGGTGTTAAATAAGATTAAACATGATTGTTTGGATATATATTTCAAGTAGGGGCATTCATTTCTGCGTCAACCCAGTGGGAGTTAACAATAATTTGAAGGCTACTAATCTTTCTTTTAAGTTGGAAAAGTCTTTGTGAATTCACTATGCTACTCTGTCACATTGCAAATATCACATTTTCTTCACATCCATTAATATACATACATATACACAGACATGTTTCACATACAAATCACCTTGACCGGAATGATATGACAATAACATAATCAGATTTGTTTTTGATTGCACTAAATATTCTAATTAGTTTCCTTGTCCTATTTAAACGTATGTTAATTGAGAGCGGTTATTTAATTATCCTCTATTGAAGAGACTTATACTAGATCGAAAAAATGCCTGTAATTCAATTTCTTACCTAGTGGGATATTATGAAAATATCTCATAGTTTTTAATTACAACAAAGTATTTGTTTTGTGTGTGTGTGTGTGTGTGGAAAATGTGACAATTTATTGTACGACAATTTAATATATTTTGTCCGTAAATAGTTATTTTAAACGAAGAAGCTACTGTTGTCAATTGGATAGGATATAGTTTAGAAATTAATTTTAACTAAACAGGTAGTATTGTAATTGTATGTTTTTTGTTACTTGTCATCAAGTAATCAGAGACAAATAGTCTTCTCTATTCATAACTTTAATACATAACTGACCATTAAGAGCAGAATATACTCGTAAGGTACTAGTATTTGACAACAGATGTCTTAGAAATATTGCTGGCATCTGATGGGATCACCGGGTAAGTAATAATGAGGTTAAACACAGGGTATTAGGGAACGGTGGTGAATCGGTTGATGAGGTTGTAAATTCTCTTCGCCTGAGATGGTTGAGTCACATGTTACGTATGCCTGAACACCGATTACCACGACGCGCAATGCTGAATAGTGTTGGTGATGGTTGGGAGAAAGTTAGGGGTGGCCAAACCAAAACGTGGCATCAGTCATTGAATTCACTAACTTCTAGTTTGAGCCACGTTGGTAGATGCAGATTACTTGATTAGGATCTGCGTGATTATCGTAACCAATGGTTGGAGACTCTGTGTGACATAACTCAGAATCGATCACAATGTCGCCGGTGTATACACTCTCTGTCTTCCCTTAAACTATGAGATCAGAATTACTATATACCTTTCTTCCTGTACTATATCCTTATTTGCAATCTTTCCTTTATATGTTACCACCATTGAATTACTACTTCTATGAATTCGTTGTTCATCTTGTTATGCTAATGCGGTATGGCAACTTGAACTGATACATATATGTGCCTGGTCCTACGTTGTAGCTGACTGACTGACTGACTGACATAACTGATGTATGGTGACAAAATATTTAGATTGCACATCACCATTACAATCCTTGATTAGCTTTTTAAAGCCTCACTTAAAAAGGATTATAAACCCAATCAAAAAAGTAGTAAATATTTGTGAATTACACTAATCAATCAGCTAATGCTAAATAAGGTGTTTTCTAGGCATTAATATTGGCAATTTTCGCAGGATTCGAATCCATGTCATAGAGCGGAGTCACTGCTTAAATGGGTGCATCGATTTTTGCAAGATCGCGAATTCATCTCACTGATGGGTAGCAATCAACATAAAACCAATATCCAGGGATTTTTGCTACTAGTCATCGAAAATATTATTTTTCGCATTAAAATGAGTATCAGGTGAATAGTTTGTTTTTAGAAAATTAGATTTCTGTTAAAATCATCTAGTTCCCAATATAGTGGATGATATATGACATCATCCAAACAAAAAATTACAAATCAAAGTGATGTGTAAAACCTACTGTTTACAATTGGTTACCACTAAGAGGTAAGGTTAGATTAATTTGATCTGTAAATGGGGATCTGTGTATTTAAAATCACTGATCATAAAATAACTAAAAGTAACTGAGAGCATATGTCTCATCAAAATTGCATGTACGTCCTGATAACGTGTGACAGTTAGTGTTAAACCAAAGACCTGGGTTTTATAACAACCACCTCCATCGATCTTAAATTAAGATATTGTGCAACGTTAAGTTAGTTAAACCGGTAGTTACATTACAACTTGATCGATAGAATCTGATCAGCACTAAACTACAACACAAATGTGACATTGACCACTAGTCAGTAATCAATATATATTAGGACGAAATGACCGTCCAGTGCTTCCAGGTTTTCAATGGTGTTCTAGCCTAGATGGACTCATGAATTCAACTGTTTAGTTGACAACTTTTACAGTATATTGTCCTCTTCCAATATTCGACTTAAAAAGACATAGGATAGAGAATAGTAGGAAGTGGATGAGGTATTTCTTATTATTTATCTATGTTACTCATTGAAGTCTGTCGTTACTTATTATTATGATGATGATGATGACTATTTTTATGTCAATTGAGTAAGATCACAGTTGTTCAAGTCTACTTCTTCAGTCTAGACAAAATGTTCTTTGATTTTTAATATACAAATTTTCTCCTGTTCTCAAACAGTTGTACCTGTAATTTGATGTTACACTTTAAAAAAACAAAACAAATGGAATTTACTAATCAAGTTCAGTTTTTCCCATCTGACTTTCATGTAAACTTACTATTACATAATAGCTAATAAGATTATTTAGATATCGAAATCTTCTGTATAATTTAAAAATCAGATTTCAATTTTCGATAAAATAACTGATAATTGAACTTAGTTTAAATCATGTAATAACTAGTTAAACAAAAATTTATTCATATACATTGAAACACTATGATACAAATGAATTAGTTCATTGAAAACTTACAATTTTAATCGCATACCAGCAGTCGCAGCCAAATAAATTGGTGTACGCTTTTTTTGTTCAACTGTTAATTTACTCGTTAATCTAACAAGTTTCGGTTTTAATATTTCATAAGCTTTAATTGGTTCATTAATATAAGCTGATATGCCAGGAGCTGGATGATAACGATTAGAAAGAAAAAAAATAAAAGTTCTCTTTATGATATTAAATAAATTTGTCTTCAGTTTAAAGTTTCCCCTATAGTATCTCGTTTTATACACATAGTTCCCTTCATTATTTTGAAAAGAGCAAGAACACAGATTCTAGTAGAATAACATGAATTCATTTTATTTCGTTGGCTCTAGTCAACTGCTTAAAACCTGTAATATTCAAAAATCATAATTACAAAATGGGTCTAAATGACCTACCTGAAAGTATTTAGTCGGAAGTTATGTTGAAGATATATTAGTATAGTGAGGGTGTAAATAAATAAAATAGACTGAATATTGTAAATATATACCTTACGTAAAACAAAATTCTACAACACTGATTGTGACAACAGTTCAAACGGCTAGAAACAAGTGATTACATAATGAGTAAACGCTGATAGGAATGAAATGTGTAGTCTGGAAGATAATTAAAATAAAAACTCAATGATGTAATAAATACAAGAAGAGTTTTTAAAAAATGTTTAAGATTCAACGGAGGAATATTTGTCACCAAGGCAACGAAAGGTTAATAACCATCTCCTTTTGAACACATGAATCAGGTTTTTGACGCCTGATAGCAACGGCTTTAGCAAACCTTAGAAGATTGGAGTTTGCTTGCTTACTAATCACCTTGAGAGATTGCAAGGTATCGATCTGATGTTCTGCATCCAAGAGATGTTTGGCAATTGCATTGTTTAGAGTCATTTTTCCTCTTGTTCTAAAGCATTTTGGAACATGTTCAAAAAATCTAAGATATGCTCTCCTTTCTATTCGGCCAATGTAGCTGCTTTGGCAGGTATATATTTTCAGCATTTAGTTTATTAAATTCAACATAACTTCTGACTAAATACTTTCAGGTAAGTCGTTTAAACCCATTTTGTAATTATGATTTTTGAATATTACAGGTTTTAAGCAGTTGACTAGAGCCAACGAAATAAAATGAATCCGTGTTATTCTACTAGAATCTGTGTTCTTGTTCTTTTCAAAACAATAAAGGGAAATATGTGTCCGAAATTTATATTTATCATTGGCAGGTCATTGAAAACTAGACGCTGTAGGAGGAATTATCCATTTTAATATCGAGGTAGTTAATTAGCAGTACAAAATCACAATCCTCTTCCTCTATGAGGAGTTGTATCAAAGATTTTTGGATCGTATGTTGATCATGATAAATGTAAACCTGAAATGACGGGAAAAGTCAAAATTCGATTGATTTACTCTTTATGATTTTTAGTCAACATTACTTCCATTTTGATTCAATGTAATGATTATTCAGTGTATTATTTGTTTTGTTTTCCCATATGACATTTTATTCTGTATTACATACGATATTCTTGTATTAAGTTAACATGAAGCATATGATTTGTTATAACTAAGTATTTTTCATATATGTGATTTTATTCTGATTTTAATCAAATTGGATGAGTGTATTTTTGACTAGGGTCGTCGTCATTGTGTTTCACGGTTACTAGCAGAGTTTAGGAGGCGAATCTGGCGTTCAATCTAGAAGATATATCAAGACCAATAAGTTTAGGTAAAGTAATTCAAATTAGAACCTTCAGTTAATGTGTGATCCAGTGTAAAGAATCATTCAGCTCCATAAGTGACATTCGTTTCAGTGAGATGATAGGGAAAATCTGTCGATCAAGAAGAAGTTTTTAATGATATTCCGTTTAATGATCGAAACAAATTAAATCACTTTCAGCCAGCAGTAGATGAAGAAGTTGAACAATATTGTTACATCTTTTGCCCCGTCAATTATCACCTGACAAGATCGCGAATCAGGATCCGATTTATACGACCTTGACCCTATGCGTTAACCAGAACGAGCAGCCCAGAGTCGACTTTGAGTTCTTATTGGTTATTATTGCCTTGCCCTGCCCATTTAATTCAGAACACAATCTCAGCTTCCACTGTATGAATCGTATATTTCATACATACGCAGTCTATATACAAGCAAACCAGACCACATCACACCGTAAAATTGAAAATAATACAAGATCAAGCCAAAAGTGGCTGTGAGTGTGAGAGACTGTGACTAACAAATCGGGAATAAGTTAAGAATGGCAAATCGTATCTCAACAACAAATTGGTCAAATGAAAGGAATACGAAAATATACATTCTGGTAACTTAGTAATTATCCAATAAGAATATATGTAATAATCGTCCATAAATGATTCCTATCAGTTACCATTCATTTATTCTTTGTTAGAATATAACAGATATGACAATTCAACAAGTTGATTTATAGTAGTAAAAAATTTTGCCATTCAAAATAATTTCAGTAGAATAATGTTTAAAAGTGTACTGTATATTGCTTTGAGTAAATTGAAGTTTTAAACAACTGATGCACTTTATTACAATGGATAATTAGGTGGATAATACTATCAACAAATACACACAAAATGTGCGGCCACTACTCTTGTACAGGAGAAAGGGTGCAGTTTTTAGCTGTGACATCCATTTAACCGGATGACAGTCTGGTAGTCATAGATACCTGAGACACGCTAATGAATATTTAATGATACACGACAGAAATCTACTTAGTATTTCTATCATACTGGAATACAGACATACCTTTTGGCATTATAAAACGAACTAATTTTATTTTAGAAATTGTTTAAATAAGCAAAAACATCCATCTTGATTATCTATGCTCCATTGATTTTGAAACATTATTTTACGCAATAATATTGAATAGCTTTGATCAAATTTATTGGTTAAATACGATAAAATTCAAAATATTTTGGATTATAAGTTTTACCATACATTTTTAAAGTGATACAACACCATATGTACAATGATATAAAGAATTAAAACTTAATGTCTGAAGGGTTAACTGAAGTCCTGCATAACCAATGATTCAAAGACTTTTAACCGAGTGTAGAAGGCAAATTAACTTAATGATAGTAGCTTTATTCATTACTGTACATTTTAATACAGTAAAGAATTCTTAGCGTCAGTTGTTCAGTATTGAGAAATAGTTCTTATTAGCATACATTTACATCATAATTATTCAAAAATTACATTCTACAAATGATTTTCTTAATAATCAATAGCTTCCACTCCTTTTCAGCAGAGTGGGCATGCCTGTAGTGTCGGTCACTATGTTAAGCCCATATAACTATTCTAGGTTCTGGACAGGCCAATTTCGTTATTCACTAACGCGATCTAGGTCGATAATTATATACGAGGATTGACGATATATATCATCAATAACGATCAGACATTTTACTCGAAAAAAAAGTAAAGAAATGGCCGTGCAATTAATGTTAACCATATAACTGGAGTCAGATCCCGAACCACCAAAGTGACGAGCCCGTCGATAACATGGTCCTCTCTAACTGACGTCAAAATGAAGGGTTCCACTAAATACCTTCCATTTAGTTTGAATAGCTACATTTCTCATTTATAAAATATTAAATGCATCGATTTCATTGTGTTCGTTCCTTTTTTTTAAAGGGAAAACGAGGAAGAAAATATGTCAAGTTCAGAAATTACGTTTGCAATTTCCAGTACCTAGCATAATGATATATTGTAAATTTTTCATACTACTGTATTTGTGTATATAGAGTTAGTATGCATAATTACACAATTCGAACAAATCTAGTGAGAAGCAATGACCACAGAAGTACAACTCTGTTAAGTATGAGACAGTTACTTACCGAAGGCGATGGAAGATGGCCACGCAATATGACCGATCGATTGCAGTTAGACATGTATGCCGTTGGGTCTCAGTCCAATGGTCTAGATATTAAGTATTCTCATTCTAGTCCGAAGATCATGCGTCCGATTACCGATTGCGGGGTCGTAGATTTACACTGCTGAGGAGTCCAATACTAGGACGGAACAGCCATGCAGTGCCTCCAGGTTACCAATATTTATCTAACTTAGATTAATTCATAATTTCAATAAAATTCAACAATTGCCACAACCCTACACTGACAAATCTAATACATGAAAGTTTATTGTAATATTTGCAAAGTTGAGAAATAGCTGGCCGAAAAGTTTGAACAGACCTCCCACCACAAATAACAAGCATTTATGAAGCCTACATAATTAAATGTAATTTAACGTTACATGTAAAAATATAATGAGATCATGGAATATTAAGAATAATGAGATTAGTATCAGAAGGGGTTTTGTGGAGATTGTAGTAATTTCAAAAGTTGAGATCATGAGTCAATTGAAGCTAGACTACCATGGAAAACCTGGAAGCACTTGACGGCCGTTTCGTCCTATTGTGGGACTCCTCAGCAGTGTGCGTCGCTCAATTTCGTGGATTAGTTGGAGTTAGACAATAACACCGTTGGATGCCGACTCAGTGGCCTAGTCGGTTAAGTGCCTGGGGCGAGACTGATGGGTTGTGGATGCGCACTACCGATGAGTTCCACAATAGGACGAAACCGCCGTCCAGTGCTACCAGGTTTTCCATGGTGGTCTAGCTTCAATTGACTCATGATCTCAACTATTGAAATAATGAGATTAATCAATGGTAGAAGACGTTTATGTTCTTTAAAAACAAAGTGAAACAATATTGAGGCAATACACACAGTATGCACATATGCACATATGCCAATAAGAGAATGATCAATTGCAGTCTTAAACATCAATGGGAAGATTCAAGTAAAACAATATCAAGTGAATTAAAGTGAAACACTGTTTTCAGCAAAATCATTATCAGGCTTGACAGTTTTCAAGTCGATAGTCATTGTATAATAACTGTCAAAATAAAGTACATCGGTGAATTAGACAATGTTGTGTTGTGTTAGGAATGAATGGTGAGCTTTTGCATTTGATACAGTGTAAATACTATAGAATCATATCGTTTGTAAATTAGAAAGGTCATTTACGAAAGGTTAGAATGATTCATTGTAAGGTGTTAAGTTACAATCGATGTAATGACAATAAAATAAACCATGTGAATGAAATGCATGGTAGAAGAAATTTAGTCTGATTAGTGGGGGTAATAATAATAATAATAAAGTCATGTGAATTTAATATGTAGAGTTGTTGCCAGAGCGATTGTGGCGAGAAACGCACATGAATTAACAAAAATGACTATGTAAATTAAAAATGGTACAAGGTTGATACGAACATGAAGGGAATCAAGGGTAAGGCATTACAACATAAGGTTTAAATATGTGGTGGTCCGATAGTGGTGCAAGACAAATATGGAACTTGAACAAACATCTTTTATATACATAAATTAGGTCTTCTGGAGTGGATCCTGAGGCTTTTGTTATGTAGAGGAGTTGCGAACCAATTGACTTTATAATAATGTAACTCCTGGAGTTCTATTTAGAAGCCGTGATCAGTAGATGATTTTACTGAAAATGCGTTATCTGAGATGAGTCGTTCAATTATAATGCTTGCCTCACCGTTTAAAAATAACCATCAGTACAAACCTCTGAAGTTTGTACTCAAAATAAAAACGCAATTTCAGCGAACGAAGGATGAATTCATATCCTAATCACCACTTAAACGATCGAATAATCGATAGTTTCGTACCAATGACCAATATTTACTTGAAACGAAGATACATTGAAAATTAAGTTACTTCAGTTTTATAATACTTAACGCTTATGTATTTTAAATTGAATAACTCTGTGTTCACATAATCATCTTTCCAAGGTCATTAGGGCAACAATTAATCGATAAAACAAAATACAATCATGCACACTAAACTACAGACAGCTTTATGATTTCTTTACGTTCTATAATCCTTGATAGAAAAGTTTCAGGAGGGAAATTAAATTTAATGATAATGGAGTCAATTTAAACTTTAAGTAATCACTAATAATTAAACGATTAACAACATTATAAGCTATTCCGATGTAGGATCGTATTTAAAGATTATCTAGAGAGTGAGTATGCTGTTTTATAATGATAGTCGTAAGCAATATTGAAGTGGAAAACTTAACAGGAACAAGTTTTTCGTTTTTTACTAAGTGTGATTTACATGTTTCATCGAGTTAATAAAACAACAGTGATGGTAGCATATCAATGACATTAAATTAAAAAAAGAATGTACGGATAATCATTTCAGTGTTACGGGAAAATGAAACGGATTCACGAAATGTGTATGAGCAAATAAAGACTCTCTTATACTTACTGTTATAGAGACATTGGGATGAATATTTATACAGTAAATAGTTCGTCAAGTTTTTAATAACAATAAATCATAACGAATCTAGATAAGTTTATCAACCATTCAAAGTCTCTATACGTAGTGTAGTATGTCAAACATCTTTTTTGTCAGGTTACAGTATCTCAGATTCCAGTTCATTCTGTAATAAGTTTTCACAATAGATAATAATCATAGGAAAATTTATTTTACAAATTACTAGTGATATTTTGTTTATATTTTGTAGTGGCAGGTACTATGTCAAGCCCATATGGGCTATTCTGGCCTTTGGACAGACCAATTTATTCATTCTTCTCAAGCAACATTTTGTCCTGTCACTTATTCGTTTATCAACCTTGAGTGTTTTGATGTAAGCGTATGTATTCGAGTTGCTTGCCCTATTAATCGTGTGTCTGTAATTTGTTTTTTTCACGCTTGATAAAATCGAGTTGGTTCACTCGTCTTCTCCTCTAAGTATGTTTCGCTTCACTTTATCCGCTTCGTTTCATTGATTGTCTTGCTGAGATCAGTGAGTATACGAAATATACATATTCAAACTTTATTCTCGCATTTGACTTATTTAATTCTGTTATTCACTAACGCGGTAAAAGTCGATAATTATAGACGAGGATAGCTGGGATATATATTTCGATAACATAATCATACGATCTAAATGGAGTCAAATGAACAGCTACTAAAATTTTGCATATTTAATTTGTAAAATATGGTCGCGTCTACAAGAGTAAAATCTTCAACCACCAAAAATACAATGAAATCAATCAATTTAGGTAACAATAACTGTTGTCTTATAAACGTTTACCAACAGTCTGGTCTGATTTCTAATAATTAATCAGATGATTATCAATGAAAGTAAGCAGAAACATTGCTTTTTCAAAAAGGTTAACTAAATTAAATTTCGATAGAATAAATCACTTACAAACTTTTTCATTAGTTACTTCATCAACTTTTCCATTTGATCGAAATGGTTCATCGATCCATTTATATAAATGAAGTTTTGAAGAAGTTGATCCTGCATCAATCACCACTGAATACTATAAGATGATAAACAGAATATTATATAAACAAAGATGAATGGAGAAAAAAATGCAATCGATAAGATAATCCAACCTTATAAAAAATATAATGAACCATTTTGTCAGAGGTTTGAACTCTCCGTTCCATTTATTTTGATTTCAATAACAGAATATCTCGTTGAGGTCATTGTGATAAGCGATTGTAGACGTTAGGTGACGTAGCTCAGAATCAAACACAAATGCACTTCTTGTCTTTTTCTAGATTTCAAGCAATAGTATTCCTTGATATATGCTAATTAATTCTTTCTTATCTTAAATAATGTTCTCTCTCGTTATCTCAATTTCTTTGTTATTCATATTTGTCAATTTTGTTCTGTTGTGATAATGTCGTGTGCAAATTAGACTTCAGGAAACTTCTGCTAGGAATGTAAGTTAAATATAACTGACTGATACCTGCATAGTGAATTGATTTCACACAATTATTACTCAATAATGTATTGAGTGTAAACAATCCACAATTTAACACTGAGTTGTAGTAATATAAAATAGTAATAATTTAAATGAAATTAAATTATAAAACATTCGGTGAGACTATAATTTATGGACGATCTTTGAGGGACGCTGAAGGGACCTTGAGAGTGGACACCTACTAATTAAGACGAAATGAGGGTTAGAAAGCAGCTAGAATCCTCATTTACAGTTGATGTTTAGGGTTAAACATTAGATTTAGGTTTTTCATCACGAACTGACATCAGCTATGATGTCAAAACTTTATTTAGTCAAATGTATGAATGAATTTCGCGCTCAAATTCCGGACTCGTTATCTTATATCTGATTGGTTCGCCCATAAATTATAGTCTCGCCAAACATTCAATAAAAATTCTGAAAAAAAAAGTATTTTACAATATTAAAACAACAATACTTACCACATCTGGAATGTTATGACTTATAATATACAAGACAATGATAATTATTAGTCCAATAAAACTGATCACCAAAATAATTAATGCTAATATTTTAAAAATCTTTTGAAGATTAGTATTACGTTCCATTATTTTTCGAGGATCTAATGAAACATTACTTATCTAAAATTGAAAGTATTCAATAGAATAACACGATAAATAAGAAATGACAACAAGTGTATGAAGGAAAGGAAGTTTTAATCTTAAATTAAAAGAAATCAAGATATTTTTCAATGGTTTTATTACTATTATTGTTAATAACATAATAGAGATAGTCATTTATACCAATACACCCTTCATTAGAATGAACTCGATCAGGAAGTTATAAAATGCTAATCATTTGAAACAGGATAATATTTTAAAGTAACAAGTAATGGATGTTGTTTTTTACAACAAATAATTCAAATGAATAATTCTCTTTTTAATTTTTCCATTGATGTTTAGAACTGCAGTTGATCAGTCATATGTGCATCCTGTACGGATTGTCTCGATATTGCCTTAAGTCACAAGTATTATAAGCTAACGGTATTGAGTTCGAGGCCTGGAGTGAACATTAGCTCTGAGATGCAGGCACATCCAGCTGACGAGTCCCAAATAGGACGAAAAGCGTCCTGGATTCAATTGCTAGACACCATCTATCTTTGCTTAGATGAATAAGTTTGCATTCTAAAACTTTACTATATTTATTATGAAAGAAACTTATAATCTACAGATTTTATCTTTCAAAAATATGAAGATAGTTATCAGTTAAATTGTTTTCTTTCCCTATAGCTATTTTATGTTCATCAAACGATAATATAGTTTGGAAATACACAATAATTCCTTAGAATTAATTATGATTGGAATGTAATCGTTTTTATTTGAATTTCAGGCATTAAGGTAACAGTTAAGTGTTGATTATTTTTATTACATCAGTTGAATTGATTATTAACCTCGCCCTTTAATTATCAATGTCGTTAAAAAGATACATCAAATACTTGGGTGACTACTTTCGGTACAAAGAGGACTGAAAGATATTTACATTTTAAATCTTGAAACTCGCTTGTATGGTACCCAACCATAAGTTTGTACAAGAAATTTGCAATCTACAAATATCGTGATACGTGATGCATCATTTAAATCACATTATTAGAATTGAATTAGTTAATATTTTACAACGTTCATCAATCTGCAATTTCCGGTGATCCACCGTGAAGCTAGTCACATATACTTCTTGATTCTAAAGTTTTCATAGTATGAAATACTTCAACAGTGCACATCTACGACCTAAAACAGGGTATCAAACTCAAGTCTTCGTAAATTTTTACTAGTTCTTTTCAAATAATATCTACATTTTGTGAAAGCCAATTAGAAGTAGCATAGTGAGAAGGTCAATCGATGGGTATCAGGAGTGACGTGAAGGACAAGTGCATTTGATTGACTAAGAAATCGGTCTATTTCCTAAGAATAGAGTCGTATGTATATATGTATATATGAGTATTTGTGCATTTTATTCGGTAGCCAAATACACTTTCTCGGTCAAGTAGTTAGTTAAGAGGTTAGCATGTAGCACACCATGTATCAATATCAGATATTGGACACCGCCTATCACAACAGTTAAACTTGAAATTAAAAGCAAAAATATTGGCAAATTAAACAAATCACCTAGAAAAAGCAAATAATCCGTTACTGGTTCTGTTATTTTCGATTATTTTTTATATAGAAGAAAAAGTGTTAATGAGATTACCAGAAAACAATATGAAATCACAAATTACATTATGAAACTAAATTCAAATTGCGCCATTCAATGTTCAAATATGAAAAGAGTATTCAATTAAAAATACAAATTATAAATTGTAATAGCTATCACAAATAAATTATGATTTTTGTTATGACTAAAGTTTGGAAATTATTCTCTGTTCAATGTTGGTATGGTTTATTCTAAACAAGAATGAAAATCGATGGGATACAAATCATTTTCATTAGATTTATTACGAATAATAATCGTTTTTTCCCCTATCCACTTAGTTAATCGAAAACACGGAATGTTACAATATAATCTCATATAGATAAATGTTTCTAACAGAAAAATACAAACAAACAAACAAACGCGAACACGCACACGCACACACACAATAAACTACAGATATTCTAACATTATTTTTTTATTATCTTAATAAGAAAAAATAAATATGAATTTGATATTTGTTTCTAACTTAGATCTACACGATCTGATCATTAGTGTGATGACATTATCTTGGATTCCAAAGAAAAAAATTGATCATCAACTTCTTATCTCACAATAAATCTCAATATGCACAAATCCAAAGACATTTTGAGTCGAAAGCAAAATACATCTTTTTTTAAATTCGAATAAAACCCTCGAAAAAAAACTATATAATTTCCATAGTTTCAATTACAAACTAAACTTGATCAGACCACCACTACTGAAAACATGATATTACATTAATGTAAAATAATGTACTGAAATGAGATAAAAACAGAATTATCAGAATGGGTTTTGTGGAGAATTTTAAAAATTTCACAGGTTAAAATCATGAGTCAGTTGAAGCTAGACCACCATTGAAAACCTGGAACAACTGGACGGCCGTTTCGTCCTTGCATGGGACTCCTCAGCGGTGCGCACCCACGATCCCGAACCCACGACCTATCAGTCTCGCGCCAAGCGCTTTTTATTTTACAAGTTTTGAACTGTAACTAGCAGTGAAAGATAGGATATGCATCTTATCCTATTTAGACCTCGTCAGTTAAATGCACCTGTACTCCACTGCTGATGTTTATATTGGAACTCATCTATAAAAAATCCTCTGCATATAAGCTTATTCATAAACGACAATTTCTTTTTTTTTTCATTAAAATTAACAAAAAAACGGTTACTCTTTGTTTATTGCTACTATTTCTCGATACTTTTATCTCATCGATAGAGAGTAATGATGAAATGTTTACAGAGTATTCATCAAATGATGTATTTATTATTGACAGATACAAAGCTTTAACAATGTTGAATAAAAATATCTTTTGTAGATGTATACTTGAAGTTTACTTACAAAATCAACCATTGACTGACTTAAAATTAGATAAGAGAAAGAAGTCTATGAAGTAAATAAATCTAACATATTTGAGAGAGAAAAGAGTCAATATCTGATTTTCATTCTACTAACTAGTGCTATGGTAATTCGTTTTTGTTTAAGAATACCAACGAAAATAAGATGACCACAATCAACATGGTTAGTTGAAAACTACAGTAAATAATGATAATAGCAATAATCGAGTGATATTACTATGAACAAAAGCAAAGTATCATTTACAATTGGATTCCTGTTAAAAATGATGTGAAGGTCGGTTTATTTTCTGGAGAAATTATGAAATAGAAAGAAACATGTAGTCTATTGAAGATTTTAGACATTAAAGTAAATAAACACAAACATACACACAGAACATTTGGATGAACATAGTTTGTAGATATATGGGAATTGTCAATGAGTGAATAGTTGGGTTTTGCAGTACTGAAGTGTAATGTTTGAAGTTAACGACACACTGACAATCATAGTGAGAAAAATTCAGTCTTCAAGATTATCCTTGCGTATACATGTTTTACACAGACAGTAATCAACTAATCGTTAGTAAATAATTTTGAGACGCTATTTCACAAAGCGTTCAGTGAAAAATTGTCACTGGCGTGGGGGTTTATCTACGTCAAGAGGTTATCATTGAGAACTTTGAATAATCACTTGTCTTATTACCAATGTGAACTGTCTATAATTTCAAAATGTATATTATTGAATCCTGACTCATTTGTTTAAGCATATTATGCTCAGAGTGAAAAGTGAAGATTGTGGATTTGCACGCTTAAAGTTGTACGTGAACGCACTGATTTCCAGTGATTATCTCCATATGGTGTCAGTCAGTAGTTTGTAAACTATTCATCAACTCGATTTGTGAAATTATTTGACGTTAGCTGTTATTTTCATATTAAAAATGTGTTACTACATCGACACTATGTTAGTTTTCAAGGTTATTTATGGAGTTCTGTCTCATGTGCCCTACGCTTCCAGCATCCGCCTCTTATTTACAGCGGAAGCCATAGAACACAAAACAGTAAACCTAATCTTTGTGTAAAGAAAATATTTTTACAACATCGTCATTTACTCTGGCCTTCTACCTAGTTTTTTCTTTCAATCCTATTTAAGTTTAACCAATGTTTTTCGTAATCAGTCTTAATAACTTAATTATCTACCTTTAACTTGTATTCATATCATGAATAATAATTTTAATCTTCTATCTATTTACTTAGCTCTGCCTATAGCCTTTCTAATGTTACTGCTGATTCCGAACCTGGGTAAAAAAAGGAGAGTTTAGAATCGCGTTAGCAATCTCGTCTTATCAAAAAAAAACTTTGTTGACTAAAGCTAATCAGAAAGTAATTCGTTAGGTTACTAACTGATTATATTTATGTTTAGAAAAATTCATTATTAAATTGGTTTGTCATCATTTGTTTAACATAAATCTTATACTTAAGTTAAATATCTATATACATTAATGTACATAGAGACTTGATGATGAAATGATTTAAAAGAAATGTTTTTTTGATTGACTTATGAATAGATTACATGAGTCTTCTCAATAATCCATTCAACTGTACTTATGCTTTGAGATTCTTTCTTATATTCATCTACTGTGACCGAGTTGACTATCTTGGTTAAATTTGACATAAGTACACATATATGTACATAATAGCTAATCTAACATTCATTAAAAATTGAATCTTATTACGACTGTTTTGAAAAGAACAGTATGTAAAAAGAATAATAAGCTGGTAACTATGTGATTTTGATAAACTCTATAGATAGATAGTTTATATAAATACAAATCAACGAAATACTTTATAAATGAAAAAATTTAGTTTATGATGGTAGCAGTGTGGTATATACTATTTATGTTGACAGATATAAATGTTATGTAACACCAATCAGAAGTGGCGTACATGATAATAGAAGGTTGAGAAGATTGAATTAAAGAGAACAAGAATATAAATAGACAGTAATTGTAATAACAACAGAAATGAAGGGACGGCGAAGTTTGTAAGAAACAATTCCCCACCTGAATTCTCGTTCATAACAGCA